TCAGCCAATCAAATTCGTGAATTCGGTAGTTCCCAGTCCTTGTGAGACACAGCCATATAATAAGATCAAGATATTAACTCCTTCCTGATAAGTTTAATTCATGGGTAAATAGATGATAACGTTAAAATTGATGGAATGATTAATTAATTGATTGTGTACAATACTTTAAATAAAACTCAAGAAACTAAGTGATTCAGGTGGGCACTCTGGGCTGGGTTGTTCAAAACACAGTTTACTTAACACAGGGTTAGTGTAAATTTTTAAATTAGTTTTATAGCTCTGCTAAATAAGGAATTTTTCTTTTGTAATTTTTTCCCATTAGTTGCAAGTCATATTGAGAGAAGACCCAACAAAGCATTAGCTCTTCTATGTGCTCTTCAAAACGAGAAATTGAAGCCAAAATAAACTTCTAATTCTAGATTAACCCCCTTTCTAACAAGCCGGCCCAGGATTAAAAAGGAAAATACGTTTCATCAACAGTCAGGCGACGCTCAGCGTGTCTTATATGAACTTTTTACCTGTGAATAAGCTAAGGGGTAGTGCATGGGAGGAATGGGGCAAGTTAATTTTAAGATGGCGGAAGAGAGCGCAAGATTTTCGCAAATTGTTTTAGAAATTTGTAACCTTACTGAAACATAAAAGATTATGCCTTGAATCGTATTTTTTAAGGAATCAATAAGCCAAATTGTTATAAATGCCAAAAGCTGGACGAAAGAGGCGTCTAACGCAAAATTCTACCGAGAAAAAGGTGAAGACCAAGCGAGTTGGGAAAGACTGTGATCCTACCGATGGCGAGGCAAAAGTGAGGACAAAGCGTGTTCGGAAAGACAGTGATCCTACCGAGGAAATGGTGAAGACGAAACGGGTTCGGAAAGACACTGAACCGAGTATTTCCAAATCAAGTGGTTCTTCAAATAAACTTGAAGAAGAAGAAGAAAGCCAAGATGCTTGCACAACCCTAACTCTTAAAAGGTCAGTTTTCCATACTATCTTGTGACGAATACATTTTCAGTATGTAGGGAGAGCTGTTAGGTCAGTCATCTGAACAGAAAAAAGTTGTTCAATTTTTGGAAATTAGCGTGTTTGGAAAGATTTAGGTATAACCCCATACAAATAAAAAACAAAGCCATAGTTCCAAAGGAAATCTGTTGGTTTGCCTCAGTTTTCCTTTATCCAATAATTGAATGCATGAATAATGAAGTATGGGGTTATATGGAAATCTTGCCGCATGTTTAAATACACAACAAACTTCAGCTTGAAATGGAAAAATTACCTCAGTAATACTGATGAATTCCCTTTAGACCTCAGTGCTTAGTAAAAGGAAACCTTTCGTAGCCTTGATTGGTTTTCTTGCAAAATTATTCAATCTACTACTATTTCTATACCCCATTAGANGAAATAATTTGGATATATCAACAAAGTTGAAATGGTAAATTGGCCACTGTAACGATTACAAAAGCTGACGTTTCGAGCGTTAGCCCTTCGTCAGAGCGAATAGAGGAATTGTGGGTTGTGTGTGCTTTTGAAGGCAGAAAATGGAGCTACGTTATTGCTGGGAACATGGCAACGAGAAAAACAAGAATGAATTAGTGGAATGAAAAGCGTTCGTTGATCCCTGTGAGATTTAGACTGCCAGTTTGAAAGAGGAGCTTTTGTTCAAGATTTTTACAGCTTTCCGTGTTACGTAAGTGTAAGGAAAGACCGCAGATTGCCATATGTTGCTTAGAATGATTAGGTAAATTAAAATCCCTAGCAACTAGTTTCGATGTGTCCTTGTCATATTTTTCCACATCTCGAAGGTGTTCTCGGAATCGGTCACCTAGTCTTCTGCCTGTTTCGCCGATGTATATCTTTTTGCAATAAGTGCAAGTTAATATGCAATAGATTACATTGGCAGAGGTGCACGTGAAGTGATTGGTGATCTTAATGGATCGTTTAGGTCCCGATATTTTATCAGTGTTGTGAATGAAAGGACATGTTTTGCATCATGCACGAGCGCCTTTAAAAGTGCCTGGTTGGCCATTAGTCTGAAAAGAACTTCTGACCAAAAAATGCCTATGTTTTTTGTTGCGTTTGAATGAAATGAGTGGAGGCTGCGAAAAGATAGTGCTTGTCTCTGGATCGTTTTGAAGTAATTTAAAGTTTTTAAGAATGATGGATTTAACTGAGTGGTTGTGAGGGTGAAATGTGAGAGTGAATGGAATGTGGTCAGAATCTTCCTTATGCAATGTTTGTAGTGCTGAATGTCGATCAATAAGTTGGCGCAGTGGTAACCCGCTTGAACGACAGAAACAGGGTAACCTGCTGAAGTGACCTGCTTAGCCTGCAGGTTATGGTAAAACTGAATAAGCAGGGATTTCATCAAGGGCCGGGCACCGGCCAAATTGACCGGTTGTAAGGATGGTTTTGCCCACCTGGTTTAACAATCTGGAGGAAGGGTTATCTTATAAAGAAGTTCAGTTCAAAAAGTTTTGCCCGCCTGTGAAAACCAGTTGCCTTCCTGCTGAAAAAATTAATGAAACCCCTGAATAAGATCATACACAAGTAGAGCCATTGTTAGCTGTGTGCACAAAGTACAATAATTATGGCCAAAAGTCCTGAACTCATGTGTGCATGGTGATGTTGCTGTGGTTGTAGTACCATGCACCTCAGCGATTCCAAGGTGTAAAAAGAACATTAAAAAAAAAACCTTTGCATTCAACTGCCATGCGCTATGGACTGCTCCATGGCAGCAGTCATAACATTATGTACAGCTGTAGACCCTTTTGACTGTCCTAATTGTGATATTTGGATATAAATTATGGCAATAAAAACCTTCGATGTTCTTTGATTTCAATACTTTAATCCACACACTATCCACATGGCAGCCAATGAGTACCACAACAAAAACTTTTGCTAGGCTTCACCGGATGCCTACACACACAACCTTTTCACACTTGTGGTACAATACACTACACTAATGCTACCTGCAGTCTCTCACATTCTCTGTTAAATAATTTTATATTATGTGACTTTGATTTATTGGATGTGAAAAACTGAGTTAAATTTCGTCTCTGTTTCTTTATTTTACAGCATATTGTCTCTCTCAGATGACCTGGAAAATGCTTGTCTGCTTTTCCTTTCCAAAGGACAGGTGTGGATGTGGCTCAGTGTATTTTCCACTTGAGGGTTGAGCAGAGTTCTCAAGACTCGGACATTGAGCTTGAGACTCACACAAACAAATTCAATCTTGGGTTCTCACACTGAAACTATTATTTCTCATGCTATTAAAGTTTCTGATTTAAACCATTGATTTGGAGAAACCAAACTTTTTCTTTAGTTAAAAGACCCATAGAATTAATAATCATTCTAAATTTGATTTACTCCCTGTTCCCTTTGTACTTACTTCAAACACTTTCCAACAGCCAAAATTCTTGCTCAGAAAAATGGAATACACGTCTTTGATGCTTTATTTTGTCACAATTTTCCACAGGAGCATGATGCCCCCCATAACCCCACCCCCTTCTTCCTTACAGTGAGGTGATGCCCAAGGCTCGACACTAACTTTTTTTTCTAGCCAAGTGGCTAGTGAAATCTCAGATGGTACGACAATTGCAGTTTGTTTACTAGCCAAACTGGCTGGTGGAAATATAAAACCTCTAGCCAAAACTGAATTTCTGCCAGTCTGTGGCTAGTCGGCTACTGGTAGTGTTGAGCCCTGGATGCCCATGGTATCTTACTCTTAGCTAATAAATAAACTTAAGAGCTATCATTGGTTTATACCCCTTTCATATTATAATTTTCATTTCATTTCTAGTTTAAGTAATTGTATTTGAATGTGTTCATCCATAATGCAGATTGATTTGGTTTTTTTTTTAGGGAGTTTGCTTGAAAGGAATGGCCAGTGTCAAAGTATTAATTGGAGTTGTGAACATTTTTGGTTCAAATATTGGACCTGATGATGAAGCAGTCCAAGTCTTTTCACCAAGTTCATCAAGCCTTATTTCTTTGTGTGAGTTAAATGATGCCAAAATCACACTGGAGGCAAAAAAAAGAATTTTGAAAGGAACTCTTCAAAAGCAGTCCTCAGATTTCATCCAAAAAACTATAAAAAGAGCCAAGAAAGCAGCTGCAGTGATATTAATTTCATCATTACAAACTGTTGAGACAAGCTTTGTATCCAGCTGTCAACACTATGAGGAAATCTTTAACCCGGAACTTGACAAGGTAGATGCTTTTGCTACATGTACAACTGTGTAACCAACACTGTAATGTTACTGTGTTCTTGATACATTTCTCTATTTCTTTATTTTGTGTTCATTGGGTTTGTTTTTTAATATTTTGTTTAATGGCTATACATATCTGACAATTATTATTTGCTGATGGCAAATTGGACATACAAACAATAGCCTCCATTTAGCAGGAAAATACACACTTATCTGCAGACATTATCTGTTCTGTTCTGAGATGCAAGCAGTTTTCCAAGAGCAAAGCTCAAGGAAAACTGTTTGCTACTGGTGTTAGGAGGGGGGCTTTGGGATTTTCAGTTTTGCGGTTTTGACTGTTTTTTGGATTGGTTTTTCGGTTTTTAGGCCAAAAAGCTTCAGTTTTTCGGTTTTGATGTTCAGAACAGTTTGCGGATTTAACGTGTTTTTGCATTTGGTTTTCGGTTTTCACGAAAACTCTGATGGGCTTTTTGGTTTTTCCTTTTTGACCCCTTTAAAGGTGAAAATCTAGCAGTTTTGTCAGGTTTGCATGCGGTTTTCAGTTTTGCTGCCTTTTTTTGTCAGTTTTTCAGTTTTGGAGGTTTTTTTCTCGGGTTTTCGGTTTCCCAGGGGCTGCAATGCCCCCCTCTGTTAGGGTATGAAGGTTAACCCATGGTGAATTAATTGCAGGGTTATTCCTTAAGCAGTACAGAACTGGCTTTAAAGAAGAGGACTGCTGCGCTAGGATTCATTCTTGTAAGGAATATCTAGATATTATATTCTTCTCCCCCAGTTTTGTAATGTATATAGTGTGATGCTAAGTTTAATTCAAATCAAACAGGTCCATATGTAGGACTGGAACCTACATGTATTTAGTTATCCTTGACAATGAGATAATGCATGAATAAAGGGGGTAAAGATCTAAAGGTTGGGGGGGGTGCAGTGTCAGTGGGGGGTTTTACAAGATAATTTGGAATTATAAACTGATTTGATAATGTAAATTGGCCACAACTGTAAAGAATTAATAAAGCTGAGGTTTTGAGCATTAGCACTTTGTCAGGGGGTAAGAAAAAGGAATAATGCACGAAAAATCAGGCAAATTACAGTATTTACTGATAGACATGAAAAACTTAATATGTGCATCAGATTGGCTGATGAATGTAACATGAGTGCAAAGTTGTAACATGAGTGCAAATTACAAATTTCATCTGTCTTTACTTTCTTTAATGTGTTTATCATGTAATTTATGGAAAAAAAAAAACAAAACAAAACATGATTTCTTGTGTAATTTGGTTAAATAAGCACTTGCAATTTATGAGACTACAAATTACACTTCCCCAATGGGCTCCTGCAAGTTTGTTGTTATTTTGAAAAATCTATTAGTACCTAATACACAAAATTTCTCTCGAAATCATAATTATTACCTATACTTATAAGATGATGCAGCCTGCAATATAAGTTGAACAGGTGATCCACATACAGTAATAATTCCTGCTAACTGCAAAACTGTTTTGTCACTTACAGATTGAGAGCTGGGATAACATTAGCTCTGATATAATTATCTTAAACCCTGTAACTCTTAAGAGTGACAGCATCTAATTTCTCCTTACAATATCACCCTTGAATCACATGTTAAGGTCATGAGAATTTAGGAAATGATCAGCAACTAAAGAAGTTCTTGATTGTTAAACAAATTCTCCTTGTCAGCACCTCAGGAAATGTATTGAGAACAGTATGGAGAATATGTGTATTGATGTCTGGGGTTAATGGATTCTAATGTAAAGCCTATTGTTCTGTATGGTGTATTATATTTTAGCATGTCAGATTCAAGTTTATTCAAGTTTTATTATTATTACTATTGTGACAATATTACAAAAAATATGCACTGCCCGCAGTTAGCAAAGGCTAGTCGAGGCAGGAAGTGTTTAATACTTATATTATAAGATAAATAGATTTAGAGAGCAAGAGATTCAAAATTCTAGACAAATTACAACTACATTAATACATTTAAGATACAGCAAGAGAACAGAACAAGCTGGGGTCTTATACATATAGTTGTGCTATTAAAGTAGGCAAATCAATATAATCGTCATATTTTTCGAGTCTCTGGAGGAGGAAATCATGAATTTTATGAATTTTATGAATTTTGATAAAAGTATAATCTTTAAATGTGTTTTTCAGCTGAACCCAGAATCAAGGTGTAATGTTCTCATGATTCCTGAAGAGTGGAAACTTATAGCCAGCTCATTGCAAAGTGCTGATGAAGGTGTTCCAGGGGAAGGTGACCTGTTAAATGTAGGATATGTCAGGGCTTTACACAAACTTTTCAATTTACTTAAGCCAAGTGGCAAGTGACAACTTAGATGTTACAACAATTTCAGTTTGTTTACTAGCTAAACTGGCTAGTGGAAATA